AGACAGGGTCGTCCCAATATGCGTTTTTGCAATTTGCATATAGGCAAAAACGCATAAAAATGAAATCTTATCTGCTTGTGGGCTTAACATTAAGCACCCAGTGGCTTGATAATGGACAGTGAAACCAGGAATAAATGGTCAGTGGCTTTTCATCTACCGAAAACCGTTTCGCGCTGCAAATTGAATGAGTTGAAATTCTTAATATGCTGGACATGTTAGTACATAGAAGGAAGCCAAAAAATTCGGGTACGCACCGACTACGGTGTGTAGATGCGTTCTTTGCAGTTTCTTAGCAAGTATTTGTTGCTAACGGCACTGTTTTTTTCTAGCAGATGCTTCTATCTAAAATAGCTGAAACTGGCCACCACAACTGTTAGCTAAACCTGTTACAACGACTCATATAAAATCGTCATGACCATACTCAAAAAATATAGCGTTCTGGGTGCTTCGGTTGCGGAGTTACAAATTTCAAATGCCCATACGTACGTACGATGCAGAGGGGCTGTAAAGCTCAATTGACTTCCTCGAATAAATCAGTGGACAACAAATAAGGCTATAAAATTACAGCTCTCTACAACTTACTGGTAAGCTTAATTCTCGAGTTGACACATTGCCAGTTTAAAATTGAGCACGTGTGTGCGTGAAATCTTGGAGTGCGTGAAGGTTGAATTTGAAATTCTTGGATTGGAGATAAGCAAGAAACATCGTGAAGTTTTAGCTTTTTAGCTTGCGTGGTTCAAGCGAAATCATTTTCTCGTCAAAAAATCTTTCACGCGCCTGTAACGTTCATTTTGAGGATAGGGGGCAACACATAGATGTAGATTATGTTGTCAAATTTTTAGCCTTGTGGCTTTGTAAGCCTTAAGATGAAAAATCAATGCGGACACACACACAGACACAGATGCATACAGACAGACAACCCTTCGACACTGCGTTTTTGCATTGCATAGATGCAAAAACGCACAAAAACGAGATTTTGAAACAGTCAACAAGGCGTAGTTTGATAGATCAGCACAAATACTACATTTCAATTTTTCTTGCTAATTGTGGCTTTGTCTAAGCAGTGGGATTCGTGCCAAATTTGTACTAGCAATAGTGCATTGCGGAATCTTTCCGTTCCTAATTTGTAAGTCGCAAAAATATCAAGAAAAGCGCAAATTAATCCCAATTATCACCAACATCACTAAAAATGTTTGTATTTCTAAAATGTGTAAATTCAAATAATATTTCTAAATTTGATTTCAAAAGTTCGTAAAATTTGCTGCTGTTGCAGCAAGTAAAAGTAGTAGCCGGCCAGAATCCAGCCGAAACGGCTGGTCGGCTTTGCTTATGGTCACATGATGGTGCCGATGACGATAATCCTGAGGCATTCAATAGTTTCATAGAATACCGCCGATCGCTAAAGCTGAAATGTATTGAAACTTCAAAAGCAGCAACCTTCCAATTTACGCCAACTACAGGAACTCCGGATACACTTTTCTATCAGGCATGTGCAGATCTCTTTATTCAGTAACCTACTTAGTTTTCTACAATAAAAGTTGTAGCAAAATTTAGATACCTTTGGACTAAGCGGTTTTCCTTGAGCAGAATGGTGGCCTCTTTCTTTTTTTTTTTTGCTGTGCTATAGTTGTATTTAGCAGTTCACCCAAATATCGTGGAAAAGCACATAGTAGCGCTGACGCATGGCGTGTCTTTGAATTTTCTTTTCGTGCAAACCGACTGAGTTGATGATTCGCCAAGATGTTCCGTTCTCGATTTTTTAGCCAAGGAGCCAAGATTCACTTAGTTTAGGAACCAGTGTCCAACTTGATTAAAAGAGGGCAAAAGGCTTTATATAAAAATTAAGGAATGGTCAATTCATTTTTCGAAATGTTCCCATTTTTCTTCTTAACTTTAGCATAGCAGTAATGATTTTTTTCTGGAAGCATAATAAACACGTGAACGACAGTAACAGAGGATGAGCGTTTCGTTTTTTTCGTTATGCTTTCCCGCACAGACCAAAAATGAACATCATAGCGAGACCAGCATGTGCACACCGAATTTAGCTTAAAAAATAAGCCACAATGTTGCAATTTTCAGGATACGTAGAATTTGTCATGGAAGAAATTGTTAGTTATCAGTAAGTAAATATGCCCTAAATCTTTAATCGAGAATTGCACGTAGGACTACAGTTTGACGCAAATTCCACAGTATCGTCATGTTCCTCAAAGTATCGAACCGGAAGGGTAGTTTCTACATCTCCAGTACTGGTGTGGTGAAGGCAGTGAATTATGCATGCGGAACGTTACGAAGAAAGCGAGGACCGAAAGATGCTTAGTGTGTCTCTTTGCGACAGTATAAACAATCAGATTCTCAGCCACATGGGCGGCGCGCGGGATACCATTGCAACCATTTGAGAAAGCAAAATCTGAAGGGCAGAGAATGTTGCTAGTCTTACTCACAGTGGGTAGACGTCGCATATTAGTGAATGTATCATCACCCATTAATTTGCTCTAGAGTCATCCGCACTTAACAGTATCAGCTGGGTAGAACTACTCAGTACGCACGGTCGCATCTGCTACCTGGCGCGCCTAACTCTATATTATTTTTGTTACATCAGTGATGCAGAAACTCATAAAGAAGACATTCATTCTCAATTAGATAAGCTACTGTTATTTTCATTGTTATCAAAAATTTACGACACTTACTGAATATAAAATCATTTGTTCTAGAGTTACTCCACTTATAATATGGGATGGAAAATTCACGTAGTGGATGAGTTGCCGAAGGATATTGCTGACTTTGCGGAAGAACCTTATCAGTACGACATTTGGCTGCAGCAGCAGAATTTGTTGAATGTTCCGGAAGGATCACTGTCAGCAGCAGCAGCTTCATCTTTCAGTGCGACAGCTTATGTCCAACTAACTGCTTTGACATCACTGTTTTATCATACGATTGTTGTCATATTCAAGTGAAATGGCAAATTTTGGTGCTATGTTGTCTGATCTCCTTCAAGCCTTTTTCAACAAATTTGCGCTTTGTTTTCCACTTATTCTGTGCAGATTAATTCTAGATCTCGTTTCTTATCAACTAAGCAGTCATTTTTAAGCGGCTTAGCCCAACATAGAATTCTGCATGGACTAACGGGCGACTAGTGCTTCTTTCGTCTTTGCTTTTTTTAACAAGGGGAACTATGTCACGATTCGATCTTTATTTAGGAAAATACTGGGTTCCTGTTATCAGCTTTGCGTGAGTACAGCCGGCTC